AAAACAACCGCAAAAACAGTATCTCATCTAATACGGTCACAACAAGTTGCGCAACACCTTGAGCAATGGCTTGCACAAGCAAACCTAATTCCTGTGTGTGTTACTTGTGTCAAGATGAAAGTAGGGCTTCGACAGCTTGCAGTCCTCTAGATGTTGTGGGGCTAAAATCCCATCATCTGAGGCAGCACAAGAAAAAGGTGAGGAGGAATGATGGGAAGTTGCAGTCCAACATTACCAAGAGGATTGTGTGTGTGTGTGTTTAGTCGTTTAGTCGTGTCCGACTCTTCGTGACCCCATGGACCAGAGCACGCCAAGAGGATTATTTATACCTTAAGCCTGTACAAAGGCAGCACTGGACAAAACCCATTACTACATTCATGACTGATAAAATGCCAGTGTTATACTAGGCAATGTCACTACTTCTTACCAACTTCAGACCCAAACCCAAGCTATGACTTCAATTCTTCCCATGATATGCAGCCATCTCAGCAGAATTCTTAGAATACCTGTAAGACTAGCTATTAAAACTCTCTAGAAGTACTCTCCAAAAAATATTAATCTCCCGTGAATTCACCACGCTGCTGCCACAATAAATGTCACATGAGAGTAATAAATATAGAATGCATGTAGTCAAGGGATACGGTTTTAATTTAGTTTAATGTTTCCAGCATTACAAAGGCTGAACACATTCTTAGTTAATAGGACGCAGCAGCAACAAAAGGTACTCTATTATATGAGCACTAAGTAAATAATACATCTTCTGAATGCCAAAGCTACTTATAGGGTTCAGACGGGATTTATATCTAGGATACAAATACTTTATACCTATGACCTACATTAGACATTTAGTTATTTGGGAAGTAGCTGGTACATGACAGACAATTTTACCAGCCATTACTGCTCCCTGTTTGCAAAATGCTTCTTTAGGGAAGGAAAGAGGGCAGCAACACAAATGGCTTCCATAGGGTACTTCACTCTTAAAGCCCAAATATTATGGTTTCCTCCACGCGTGTTCCACTTTACCCTGGCGGATCTGGGAAACTGAGTTCTCTGTGCCCATCAGCTGAATATATTCAGCTGGGATATACTTGGGGCTCTACTACCCAGGCTCTCAACAATGGATTCTTCTCAGCATATCCATGAACATGAAACTGAACCACCAACTTAGAACCCGCACCCCAAGAAGCTGAAGGCACTGAGAAAACAATAACTGGAAGCCTCCAGCAAAACGGTTCCTCATTTCCTTATCACAAAACAAGCAAAAAGTTACTTCTTCTGCAGATCAATATAGGAGACATGCCAGAAGCAAAGAAGGAAATTTGGGGGGGTGGGCTCAAAAGGAAACTTCATCTTCATATCTCTGCTCACAGTACTCCTGCATCAACCTTATTAGCCTAAAAAAAAACAAACAACCTGTATGATGGAGGTGGGGAGATTCCCGGATAGGGGAATATCTGCTTAACTCTATTTTCAAATTCCAGTTGTTTCCTGTATTTTCTTACTCTCCAATCCGAGGGGAAACTAACTAGACAATCATGAAAGCAATTTCTGGGTCAGACAATTTCACAGTTTAGGGGCATTCCCCTTCCTCTCCCCCAACCCACTAAGGCCCTACACAAGCACATACATGAATGGGCTCCCTGCCTGGGAAGGCAAGAAGAGAAAATTATACTCAAAAGGGGGTGGAGATGAGACCCAAACTCAAGCCCAGATGAAAAAGAGAAGCAAAGTACCTTTAACGGTTACTTGGAAGTGGAAATTTCAGCATGTGCTGTTATTCATGCAAGCAACACGGGCTGCAATTTCCTCCTCCATACACACAACTATTAAAGATTTAGGTATCCTATCCTCTGTTTCACCTGTTCAATGCCACATGACGACATTTGGCCCTCCAGAGGCTTTGAATTTCAATGTCCAGAAGTCCCAAGCAGGAGAGATCATAATAAGGAATTTTGGGATTTAGTCTAAAATGGCGGAACAACTTGAAAAGATGTACCTGATAGGGACAGCAACATGGACTGCTACACATGGTGGGCAGGGAGAAAGAGAGAGACAGCTGGGACTGCTTTTGTTGGGATCCTTTCAGTTTCCCCAGGATTCCCATCAAAAGCACTACAAGCAACTGCAAAGCCAGTTTGCCTAAAGATCACAGTGGGATACACCGAAGGTAATAGAGGTGTGTGCCATAGGAAATGACAGGTCTACCATATTGCCTACAAATCTCTGCCATCTGTGCCAGATAACTAATGCAAACCGCTTGAAGGATGAGCCGAGCCCAAATACTGTATACTGTATTGCAGAATAAATATATACCGCCACGCTGAGAGGAACTTCTCATGAATGTGGCAGGCAGTCCCTACATATTCGGAAAGACTTGATTTCTGATGTTTCTATTATACTTCCATTTCTCATTCTCAAGTAGATGTGCCATAATCTATAGCCTCCTTGTCTCAGGGCTACCTGACTGATTGTAATAGCACCTTTCAGGTGTAAGTGAGCTGAGGGCTGGAATTAATACTTTTTCTACAAGAAGCTAAACATCAGGACAGAAATATTTCTGTCATTTTCTGCGTAATTTTAAATAATACTGGGAGACGAAGTGACAGCAGGGAGAAAAGTCAGCTTAGTCAGAATAATAGCATGAAAAGCAAAATGACGGCTGATAACCATCTTTGCTTTCTGTAAAGCTGATAAGTGTAGGTGTGGAGTTGATGACTAATCATGACTACACCCATTTTAACAACCAGCTTTGCCTTCACGTTAATTTATGAGCAAAAGAAAGTACATTATCTCATCAATATATTCACATTAGTAACAAATCATTTGCCACTTACCTGATTTAAAATAGCATTAACCAAATGACATTTTTAATAACAGGAAAAAAATATTTTTAATTTTTAAAGGAAATGAAACACTTGATTTGAATAAAACCATCCAGTGTATCTTGATGATACACAATGTTGTTGCCCACATGGCTCTCAAAATTTCCTGCTTTGGGTTCACAAATACATTTATATCCAGCGTAAGCAAGGCAAATAAAATGCTCTTGCTAATGATTTACTTGTACAGGGAAAGTACTGGACTTAAGACTATACTATCTCCTGTGAGCTATACATTCACTTCTCATCTACATGGAGATGAGTGCTTCCAGGTTCCATTTGTCATTTAGAGAATACATCCGTTAAGGCAAACTACATTCAAGATTGTGGGCCTGAACAAAAGTTTGTGTTTCATGTTGTTTAAATAGCTGCTTCCTTTCTGAAGTCTATTTAAATTAACCGAACAGCACATCTAGTGCAAGATAAATTCAACAGAATTATACTATTTTTATATTTTAAATGTTTAGGTCTTGTAAACCATTACTAGATTTTTATATGACAGACTAGGACTCAGGAGATATGAATTCAAATCACCACCCAGTGATGGAAAATCACTCCATATACCGTATTTTTTGCTCCATAAGACGCACCTCTCCATAAGACACACCAAATTTTTAGCAGAAGAAAACAGGAAAAAATAATATGTTTTCTTCTCCTAAAAATTGGTGAGCCTTATGGAGACGGCCATCTTATGGAACACGTCCTAGGACCCTTTGGAGGATCATCCTGCCCCCCGGGGGTCAGAGGGGGCAAAATTGCCACCTTCTGGGACTCTTCTGAAGCTTCCCAAGCCTCAAAAGAGTCCCAGAAGATGGTGATTTCGCCCCCCTCTGGCCCCCAGGGGGGCAGGGTGAGTCTATAAAGGGTCCTGGAACACCCCCTAGGACACTTTAGAGCAGTGACGGGGCAAGGGGGGGTGAAATCGCCAGCTTCCAGGTGGGGGGAGCGTCGCAAGGGTCCTGGAAGGCTCACCCAGACCCTTGAGACGCTCCCCCCATGGGGCCAGCGGGGACGAAATTGCTGCCTTCGCTCCATAAGACATTGGGGGGGAGTGCGTTTTATGCAGCAAAAAATACGGCAACCTAAAAATTCTACTGTATTGGGGTTGCTAGTAGTCAGAAGCAGAAGGAATTGTCACTCTCGAATTGGCCTTCTCAGCCACACTAGACACTTTTTAAAATTAAGTTTTTGCTAGGGGAACTATAAAAATAACTGTAAAATCACAAAGGCATCACAAAATCACAAATTAAAGCACATTGGATTAGATTTTTTAAAATTGACTTAAATCACAATTTAAATCCTGTTTTAATTAAAAAAGTTAAAATATGATTTAAATCAATTTGATTTTATAAAAATAATTGATTTTTAAAATCCATCCTGTGTTAAAGCATCTGAGGGCAGCATAAAATTGAAAAGGGCCTTAAGGAATTTTCTGAAAATGTTGTATTGCTTGAAGACAACAAAAGAGGGAGGTTGGTAGACTTCCTTGGGACAAGAATTCTGAGGATCTACTACTTGGCAATGAAACGTACCAGATGGTTATGGGCCAATCAGTATATTTCATTTTAACTAACCTCATAGGGTCATCATGAGGACAGAAAAGTAGAGGAAGACCAGGGACATCACCTTTAGCCCTTTTTAACAAAAGGCAAATTAAATGATGGCACATTATCACCTCTATCAATAGCACTCGAATGTTAAAATTGAGGAGGACCAGCAGAGACATTTTGCCCCTGTCGGCCTCCCTCAATAGGTCATCACACAGGGCGACCAATGCCGTTTCTGTTCCGTGGCGCGGCCTGAAGCCCGAGTGGAATGGATCCAGGGCATCTGTTTCATCCAGGAACGCCTGAAGCTGATCAGCCACCACCCTCTCGACTACCTTGCTTAAGAAAGAAACATTGGCGACGGGCCTATAATTGCCAATTTCGTCCGCCGCCAAACTAGGTTTCTTTCTTTTTAACAAAAGGCAAATTAAATGATGGCACATTATCACCTCTACCAATAGCACTCAAATGTTAAAATTGCAAGAGTAGAAGCATGAGTCACGGAATGCAGAAAAACTGTGAACAGAGAGATGCAAGTTACCAATACAAGTGGATGCAAATAGTCAATACATACATATATCTGGTGATTCATCAGAGCCATCTGGACAATCCTTCTCTCCGTCACATCTCCAGCCTTTAGAGATGCAGGTGATCTGATCTTTACATGCAAACTGTTTCGGGCTACATGTCTTCGGTGCTAGACAAAGAAAAAGGAGAAAAGAGAGAAGGGTTAGAGAGAAAAAGAACAAGGTCAGTTCCACCACCATCATCAAGATGTACCTTTAAAATAAAATTCTAAACAAAAGCAACATTACTCTGGTCATGATGGCAGGCTTATCCATATCTATGATACTTCAGGAAACAGCAGGATTAAAACACAAGATAATAATTAAAGCAAACTGGCAGCCAAAATCTAGGATACAGAACAATTTTAAAAGAGCATTTAACTTGAATAATTTATCTCCCAGGAGCGCACAGTATTTTTCACATTTTATTTACATGCCAGGCACAGAAGACACAAACAAAACACAGCACCATTTAAAAATAAGGTGGAAAGATTATACACAAAAAGATGCAGTGGATCTATGTTGGGCAGAACAGTCAGCACTCTGATTAATTAATTGATCAACACGTGGAAACTGAGCACAAGACTATGGCTAAAATCCTGCTGTCAGGAATTAGGCAGTGTAAAGCTGGAGAGTCCCATCACTGCCTTTAGTGGCTCGAGGTGCCCAACAGGATTGCAGTCAGTGCAAAAGCTGACCTTCTCTATGAAAGTGATCCCGGTACAAAATGCACATCCATCCTATGTATGGGAACTTGAAAACTGAGTTTGAGACTTCAGAACTTCCTTCAGATTTCTATACTTCCACCTTCCATGCATGCAGATATGCATGGACTCAGGCGCAACACATACGTACATGCACGCACAACACAACTACCGAAGGGAAAACACCTGGTATAATTGCATGCTTAGGAATATAAGCTTCAGGACAGAAAGCCCATAGTATTTCATACCTCTACTCAGCCACAAACTTTTTAACTGACTATATCCTGAAGCCTTACGACCAAACTATTGTCTCCTCCTACCACCGAACCATATGATGATTAGGGCACCCTTCTTTAGCAAGTCACCATGATCCAAAACAAATCTATCCATCTGATTTCACAATGCTCTGGAAACCCTGTAAGTGAGACTGATTAAAGGAGGCTTCCTTTTAGCCATATTTTTAGTGCACAGACTTCTACTGCTGGCATATGAGAGAAGGCGGGGGGGGGGAGAGCAGACACACACATAAAGTCAGAGGCCTGACCACAGAAAAGTGATCAGAACAGTCAAGTTCACTCAGAAATATATTCCTCCCACCATACTGTTTTTAGGACACTGAGATCATGCATCTCTTTCCTGTTAGTCTCTCTCTCTCTCTCTCTTGTTCTCCTTTTATGCTGGGGGCCATGCTACGTCCACAAAAATAACAAAGATAGCAGCATGTCCATGCATAAGTTCAGAGGCCAACCACAGAGAACCATGATTAGAATAGCTCAGAATCCTTCAAAAAGCTGCTCCAGCTGTGCTCCATGATCAGGCTCCATCTTCACAAACACATCTTCACATATACTACCTTCTGGTCTCCCCCCTCTGTTGTGTGTGTGTGGGGGGGGCAGGAGCAGGCCTGGCAGTGATGGCTAGATCATTCCAGGCAATGAGAACCCCAGCAAGCCAATTAGTCCTTGGCAAGGAGCGGAAAAGATAAATGTGGAGTGGCACAGAGGGAGGGAGACAAGGCAGACAGAGAGAGAGAGAGAGAGGTGGGAGGAAGACAGAGTCAAAAGAGGGAAGATAGGAAAAGAAGAATGGATGTTTAAAGCTTTCAGAATGTACATACACGGTGGATCCAGTAAACAGATTCTCCCTTTGTGTATATAGATATGAACTTGTGTGTGCCAGCAAATGAAAAAATATTAAGTTAGTCACAGAAAAAGTTTAAGAGTGTTTACTGCACAACATGTTTAAAAAATAAAAGTGGCAATACTTGAACATGTTACATGGTATAGATTTGAGCTTGACAGACTTGTAATAGTTTCATGACAGGTTCCTTAGTAAGATACTAAAAGCAGACAGCATAACTGAAAAACACAACTTCTCAACAGAAAAAGCCTCATGATGATAATAAACAAAGCAGAATAAGTCTCATCTTGTCACTACTCTTCTATCTGACAGTCAACCGCTTCAAACACCCATTAGTTACCAGTAGACAGAATCTGATCGGTTACAAGGTTCTATTATGAAAATAACACATCTTAACCATTCTTATGTAAACATATATACATGCTGGATTGCACAATTATATATATTCTAACAATCAAATGGAATAGGCAGGTGTGCAGTTATAGCTAATCATGCACTGTAACAGGGTTTTATCCCGTGTTTTTTGAAGTACCGTTCAGAGTAAGCCACGTACCAAATGATGGAAACAAATACAAAACAAAACAAAATACTGTACACTAAAAGTACAACTTGTGGTGGTTTTTGTATAGCTCACTACACTGCCCCTGCTCAGAATGTGGTTTTCTCACCTTTAGCTTGTTCAAACTGTAGCATGGTAGCTGAGAAACAAATAAGTGGGATACAGTCATTGCCAATGGATAAATATCAGTTGAGAGCTACAGTACATACAAGCCCATCTTAAATCCTAGTACTCAAGCCATGGTGAACTGAAACCAGAGCAGCAAGAGGACGTCCACTTCTGGACCCTTCTCACAGATACCAATAGGGAAAATCTGAGAAGTAGCAAGGGCCGTTACACGGATGTGTTTCTGCAATCCAGCATAAGCCATACATTTTGGTAATACTGTGAAGATGCAGGACTGCCCAGAGTTGAATGGGGAAAGAACTGGGGGCATCTGACCACAGGACTCCACAAAGCAAGGTACCCATGTGTACCAGCAGACTCTGCCCTGACCTTGCCACAGTGTCACCAGAATTCTAGATGTTTTGTCTAAAACCTTCCTTAAAAAAGGAGAAACAGAGTTATATTGTATAAGATTACATTGAATCTCAACATATAATTATGATATAAAAAGACTTCTCTGGCCAAGATGAAGCAATATATTGCACAGTTGAGTATGGAACGGAATAGCTGCTAATTTGAGGTTTAAGTGATTGGGGTTAAAGGACTAGTATATATTCTTCTGAATAATTACAGATTAAATAAATTATTGTTACTCTTTTCGTCAAAAACAAGCTGGCTCTGAAATGTATAGTTCTCAGGCAGGAAAAGAAGGAAGAGTCTGCTTATTAATCAGTCTTTCAGTCCAGCTGTAAAAGGGTCTAAATCCATCATTGTCAGGTAAAATGTTCCTTTATCTGGACAGCAATATAGCCAAAACTGCTCAGCCCATGTATTCCCAGTTACAGAGTCTGTTGCAAGAAGAGAAGGAAGGCTGTAAAGAAGGATACACTGGCGGGACAAGTGGCCTTGCCACAGAAAGAACCTCAGACCAGCCAGAGAAAGAACTCAAAGAGTGAGTGAGTGAATAACACCTAAAATCTCCAGACAAGGTGCCAATGGAAACCGATTTTCTATGGCAGTTACCACAGAGAGAAACACAGAAATCGTTTGAAACCAGTCGTTAATGGAGGAATCCTTCTTGAATGAAGAGCTGGGGAGGCCAGCAGTGGCTCACAGCCACCAGGACCAGTGTACCTGAGCTCCAGGAAGCTCTGGTGGAAGAGGTTTGGATTCTGATGGAGGTACTGAGGAGAAGGCCCTCTCCCTTTATCCCCGCACTAAAAATTGATCCTAGGACATGGCAGAATCGCAAGCAAGAATTCTAACATGTAGTCCATACACGCAATCATTTTTTCATCTGGCCCCCAGCTTGATTTGCCCGTGCTTTGCTTCTTGTAAGGGGCAGCAGGGTACCTAAGATTAGACCCTGTCCCAGACACCACAAATCCTCTGGGCCAATTAGCAAGGCTGATAATGTGGAAGCAACAAAGGGATTCCCTGCTCAGGGCTCTCTTTGTCCTGGGGCAGGCACTACTACACTCATTCTCTCTTTTTCTCTCCTGCGATTCTTAATAGAGAAATTAGAGAAAGGGACAGAGAGATAGACAAGACTCGGATGGGGGTTGGGCATGATTCTCTTCAGGGAAAAAGAGAGCACAGAGCAACTCTGATTCCATTCACAGCAAGCAGCAGTCCCAAGAGATTTTTTTTCCCTCCTCAGAGAATGATGCCCTCAGTGGAAAAACTGCAGCCCATTCCCTCTGTAAAGGAACATCTGATGTAATTATTTTTGCATGGAGCAGTTGCTCTGTGCAAACACAGCATATGTTTGGCTAAACAACATCTTTCAGAAGGCTGTCCATCCCTTCCCACCATCTGATGTTTCAAAAACAGGTAGACTTCTGTTATGTACTGATACAGTGGTCGATGGTTTTGAAACTCATGAACTGTTGTTTCCAGGAAAAGAGGTAAACAGTGTGCATGCTCTGAAAAGAATGTTTTCATCTACTTCTTTCAATAGAGAATTGTGGATGCCAGAAAAATAACAATGAAATAAGTCCTACAGCTACAAAAATTCACAAAGCCATTCTCAAGGATTCTGCTGGAGGTGATGGTCAGAAGACAGTGGAACAAGACTCACTGGAAGGTAGGAGTATGTATAAGTGGATCAAGCACAAGAAACGAATAACAACTGGACACTATGTCAATTTAAAAAATATTATAAAAAATAATATACATTATAGTTAGCATTTATACAGAACTTTTTCAGAACCATCACTTGCTTTTCAGCTTTCATGTATGTCACAAAGCAGTCCTTAAGACAGGTTCTTTTGAAAATTAAACAATAAGTAAAACAGATAGAAGATACCCAGATGAAAGAAGGCACCACAAGGCGATAAAAACAGCAAGCAGAAGCAGTGCACCAAATCAGATCCAACATTAAAAGGCTAAAATCCTACCAATTTTACACTGGCACAACTCATGCAACTTGACATGCAACAGACAACATCTATGGTGATTTCCTAACTCTTAGCAATTTGCTTCCAGCAGTTACACGATTTGTGTTACACTCCCATATATAATTAACAGGACTTTGGTTTTAAAATAACATATACAATTTTAACCAAGAATGGGTGGGGTTACAATCAGGATCACAAAAAGCATCATAGTAGTGTTATACAAG